GAGGCAGGAGACTCGCTTGAGCCCAGGAGTTGGAGGTTGCTGTGAGCTGTAATGCCACAGCACTCTGCCCAGGGGGACAGCTTGAGGCTCTGTCTCAAAAAATAAATAAATAAATAAATAAAAATAAAAAAATAGTTGAGTGTTGTGGTAGGCACCTGTAGTCTCAGCTACTTGGGAGGCTGAGGCAAGAGAATCACTTGAGCCCAAGAGTTTGAGTATGCCGTGAGCTGTGACGTCACAGCACTCTACCAAGGGTGACACAGTGAGACTCTGTCTCAAAAAAAAAAAAAAATAATAATAATAATGAAGGGCTAACTAGGTAAGGTCTAGTTCCTTAAGTCGAATACAATGGGAGCTATAATACTATTCTACAGTAAACATGTACCAAAAGCAATCAGAGAAACAGGTCCTCCAGGGTTACAAGACTCATGTGTCTTAGGGATACTAAGAGATACTACATTTTCTTCAAGGGTAAAATGAGATTTTCTAAAGGATATGGAAGGAAAACAACCACCACAGGAAATTAATATTAACTACCCAGGACTTATTAATAAAACTCACTCACAGAGAGGTATCCCATACCCCACAATGACATTTCCCACCCTATGTCCCATACATCAATAAGAACAAATTCATAGAAAAATAAAATAAAACTTACTCAAATGCATTTAACCATTATTAAATTCACTGGCTATATGTTTCACCAACTTTCTGCTAAAGCTCATTTATGAGAAAAATCATACCAGAATACTTTCGATATAATTGGAATCCAGCAGATAACGTGTCGTGAGCATATCCTTAAGTGCACTGTAAATAATTAAAAATCTAAGTTTAAAAAGATGTTAATACCACACAACAGTAAGCAGCATTCCTTTTTAATTAAGTAGGTAGCCCAAGATCTACAACTGTCATTAACTGATGTTGAAATTTTTATGCCATTTTGTAACTATCATAATAATTGATTCAGACTAGAATCATCCATTGATGCTATAACTGCTGAATGCCAGTTTAGTTAGAAAAAGAACACTTGTACAATATCCAAGTAACTACGCACAGATTATTTATTAATCACAATAAAGAAAATGGTAATTTTATAGTGGAGAAACTTGGAGAACACTCCCCCTCCCTTTTTTTAGAGACAAAGTCTCATTTTGTCATCCTTGGTAGAGAGCCATGATGTCACAGCTCATAGCAACCTCCAGTTCTTGGGCTTAGCAAATTCTCTTGCCTCTGCCTCCAAGTAGCTGGGACTACAAGGCGCCCGCCACAACACTCAGCTATTTTTTTTGTTGCAGTTTGGCCAGGGCCAGGTTCTAACCCACCACCCTCGGTATATGGGGCCAGAGCCCTACTCACTTAGCCACAGGCGCCGCCCAAAGGAGGGCACCCCTTTAATCAAAGTTAACATTACAAGCTGACATCATACACCTTTCAATGCAAAGTACCGTGAAGAACACAGACTGCTTACATAGTTTTCTTGCCAAAAATGCATAACCTGGTTTCAGGAGGAAATGTCACACAAAACCAAATTTAAGGGACTTATTACAAGGGACAATATTGGGAAAACTGGCCCTATGTAGTACAATGTTAAATTTCCTGACTTTGATCATCATATGGTAGTTTATTTAAGAGAATACCTATTATTTTTACGAAAAGGTACACACTAGATCTAGTTCACAGGGGCAACAAGACATGACATTTACAATTTGCTCTGAAGTGGTAAACTACACACAATCTATCCACATGCACACGTATAAAAAGAAAATGAGGCAAAGTGTTAATTGGTGAATCTTAAGTGAAGGGTACTACAGGAGCTTTTGTACTATTCTTACAATTACATTTCAAGTAACTATTTTTCAGAAATATAAAAAAAACACTTAGAATTGGTTTTTCTGATGGTGTACAATGGAGGTTTAAGCACCAACTGTACAAGAATATGCATTTAATTGTACTTACAGCTGCAAACTTCGAACATCATAAGGTTTTTCTCTTGTTTTGTGTTTTAGTTCAATGATGATCCAGCTATAAAGTAAAAAACAGTTGTCAATTGACTATAACTTAGTCTCTTATACTATTTTCCTAATAAGCTAGTACTAAGATTCTCAGGTGGAAGTATAGTAAAGCTAGCAGAAAAAGGGTTTATATAGTAGATATACCGAAATTTCTCCCCCCATTTCTTTCTTTTTTTTTTTTTTAAGACAGAGTCTCACGGCTCAGCACCTATAGCTCAACCGGCTAAGGCACCAGCCACGTACACCTAAGGTGGCGGGTTCGAATCCCCAGCCCGGACCCGCCAAAACAACAATGATGGCTGCAACCAAAAAATAGCCGGGCGTTGTGGCGGGCGCCTGTGGTCACAGCTACTTGGGAGGCGGAGGCAGGAGACTTGCTTGAGCCCAGGAGTTGGAGGTTGCTGTGAGCTGAGATGCCACTGCACTCTGCCCAGGGGGACAGCTTGAGGCACTGTCTCAAAAAAAAAAAGACAGAGTCTCACTATGTCACCCTTGATAGAGTGCCATAGCATCGCATCTCACAACCTCTAACTCTTGGGCTTAAGCGATTCTGTTGCCCCAGCCTCCCAAGTAGCTGGAACTATGGGTGCCCGCCACAGTGCCCAGCTACTTTTGTTGTTGTTGTTGTAGTTGTCATTGTTGCTTGGCTGGCCCAGCCAGGCTCGAACTTGCCAGCTTCAGTGCATGTGGCTGGCACCATAATCCTGTGCTACAGGTGCCAAGCTTCTTCTTTTTTTTGAGACAGAGTCTCATGACGTCACCCTCGGTAGAGTGCTATGGCGTCACAGCTCACAGCAACCTCAAACTCGGGCTCAAGCGAGTCTCTTGCATCAGCCTCCCAAGTACCTGGGACTACAGATGCTCGCCACAATTTATTTTTGGTTGTAGTTGTCATTGTTGTTTGGCAAGCCCAAGCTGGGTTCGAACCCACTAGCTCCAGTGTATGTGGCTGGTGCCCTAGCCGCTGAGCTACTGGCACTGAGCCAGCATACTTCATTTTTAAAACACATTAAATGAGCAAATATAGTTTAAATTATTCACATACATTATGTACTTTCCTATCTTTTGAATTCTAAACCATGAAATCAACTTTTAATATATATATTCAAAATTAATTTAATCTGAAAAGCATGAAAACAAGTAATATAGGCAGTCCCACTCACTAGGTCCTCACTCGTTCAGAACAGGTTATTTCAGTGCCCTTGTCGGTTCTTCTGACCCCAGCAGTGTTCACACACCAGCATGTGGCAGTGCCATTGCACTGCTTGGCTTTAAAGAGCCCCTGCTCGTCACACTCAGGGTCATAAAGGCCATCATTGTTCTGCAGAGCCCCTTCAGGTTTCTTTCTTCTCCCAGACTTTGAGTTAGTCATTTCTGCCTTCATCACCAAACATTTGGAAGCCACTGAAAAGAAAGCTTAACGTCAAACTCAAAAATAACTGGTTTCATGCTTATGGGGGAATTTTTTTTTTTTTTTTTTGAGACAGAGTCCCACTATGTCCACCTCAGTAGAGTGCCATGGCATCACAGCTCACAGCAACCTTAAACTCTTGAGCTTAAGTGACTCTCTTGCCTCTGCCTCCCAAGCTGCTGGGATTACAGGCACCTGCCACAACGCCCGGCTATTTTTGTTGTTGTTGTTGTTATTGTAGTTGTTATTGTTGTTTAGCAGGCCCAGTCTGGGTTCAAACTTGGCAGCCCCAGTGCATGTGGCGAGCGCCCTAATCACTGAGCTACAGGCACCAAGCCGGGGAAATTTTTTTTAATTTAACTCCAAACTCCAAGGACCAAAGATTATTTCAAACTTTCATATTCTCACACTTTCTAAAGATAAAAGCTTCAAATGTGAGATAATTATGACCAAGTAATATACAGATTTGAGCCAATGAAACTCTTCCCAACTCAAGGCATGTCAGTTAAAGAAGTATTAAGTCACATACTTCTTTAATAAAAAAGACATTTTACTTACATGTTGAACAAACGACACTATTTTGTGTACCAATTGAAATACACTGGCATTCACCACTTGGGTTCAAAGAGCATTCTGTGGAATACTTGTAGTTTTCACAGACACATTCTAGAAAATGAAGAATATTCATTTTAAAATGTAGATCCAACTAGCAATTGTGATATCCCAGCTAAATTATGTTCTGACAACAATACCCAAGTCACAGGTACATATAGCCTTAAAAAGTGGTCCTGAATATTTTACTTTCAAGCTAACAATTTGAGAGCTTCCTAAGTGCCTGGCACTTGCTAAATAGTTTGCATGGTCTAATCTGCATGCATTCCTGCTTCTTTTTTTAAAAACAAGAACTCAGCCTTCCAAATATCATATCCAGCTTTGCTTTTGTGATACTCACAGTCTCAGCTCTTTCCTTCCTCCTGTCCTGCTAGAAACATCCCTGCCTGTCAGTCATTTATTTACAAAAAAACAATTCCAATTCTAGGATCTGTAAATCCTTACCTTTTCTCCCTCTCACACTTCATTTTCTTAAATAGGAATAGGTATACATTCAACCTCTACACCACTTTATACCTTGCTTTTTTTGGTAAAAAAATTATACTTTCAACTGAATATGGGAATATCCTTACACATGGGTTTCCTAACTGAATCACATCCTGGTACTGGATTTTGAAAGTGATACTAAGCAGTCCGTCCTGGGTATTGATGTCAGTTTAATAATTTTATCCTTGACTACTTCAAATGAAGTTAAAGTTCATTTTAACTTCAAATTGGCAAGTCTGTCTAATTCCTTTTGTCAAGTTAAGAGTGTGCAATCATTGAAAACAAAAACTAGCATGGCAAACCAAAGAATTTGTGTATGAATCTTTCACATCCAAAGTACCCTAAATTGACTTTAACTTTTCCCTGTTTAAGTTATAATTGATATGTACCCCCCCCCCATGGTCTAGCACTAAACTCAATAGTGGGGTCATGAAAAGAGAAAGTATAGCAGCTGTCCTCAAGGAGTTAAAATCTTATGCAGCACCGTATTATAATTGTACAAAACACATTTTTCATCTCAGAAGGATATGAAATTTATTTATTTTTACTTTTTCTTTTTTTGGCCCGGGCTGGGTTTGAACCCACTACCTCTGGCATATGGGACCGGTGCCCTACCCTTTTGAGCCAGAGGCACCAGCCCATATTTATTTTTACTTTTTAAGGGCAAACATGAAACAAGTTTATTGAGGAAGAGAAAGACAGGTATACAGAGTAAGGAAGTTTGCAAAGCAGGCTGTTACCTATAGACCGTGAACGGCCCTCCATTGCCAGGGCAAGTAGGCAAAGAGACAAGAGGCCAGATGTAAAATTTAAAACAGACCACTCAGACACAAACTCTCTGAGGCTATAGCAACTACTCATATTACCATTTTAAAGTAATTAAGTATTTTTTTCTAACCTTTTTTTTTTTTTGGAGAGAATTTCACTTTGTTGCCCCCGGTAGAGTGCCCTGGTGTCACACTTCACAGCAACCTCTAACTCTTGGACTCAAGCATTTTCTTTTCTTTGTAGAAACAGAGTCTTACTTTATCACCCTTGGTAGAGGGCCAAGGTGTCACACATCTCACAGCAACCTCCAACTCCTGGGTTTAGGTGATTCTCTTGCCTCAGCCTCCCCAGTAGCTGGGACTATAGGTGCCTGCCACAACGCCTGGCTATTTTTTTGTTGCAGTTTGGCCGGGGCAGGGCTTGAAGCCGCCACCCTCAGTGTATGGGGCTGGCACCCTACCCACTGAGCCACAGGCGCCACCCTGACTCAAGCATTTTCTTTTTTTTTTTTTTTTTTTTTTTTTTTGCGGTTTTTGGCTGGGGCTGGGTTTGAACCCATCACCTTTGGCATATCGGGCTGGCGCCTTATTCCTTTGAGCCACAGGCGCCACCCTCAAGCATTTTCTTGTCTCTGCCTCCCAAGTAGCTGGGACTACAGGCCCTAACACAATGCCCAGCTATTTTTAGAGACGAGGTCTTACTCTGGCTCAGGTTGGTCTTGAACCGGTGAGCTCAGGCAGCCTCCCAGAGTGCTAGGTTTATAAGTGTGAGCCACCGTGCCAGGCCTTCTAACTTATCTTTTTGAGAGTCTTGCTCTGTTGCCCCAGATAAGAGTGCAATGGCATCATCATAGCTCACTGCTGCCACAAAACTCCTGAGGCTCCAGTGATCCTCCTGCTTCAGCTTCCTGAGTAGCTGGGACTACAGGCAGCACCACATCACCTGGCTAAATACCAGCTAAATTTTTCTATTTTTAATATATATATATATATTTTGTTTGTTTGTTTTAGAGACAAGAGCCTCACTTTGTCACCCTGGGTAGAGTGCCGTGGCGTCACAGCTCACAGCAACCTCCAGCTCTTGGGCTTAGGTGATTCTCTTACCTCAGCCTCCCAAGTAGCTGGGACTACAGGCATCTGCCACAATGCTTGGCTATTCTTTTGTTGCAGTTTGGCCAGGCTGGGTTCAAACCTGCCACCCTTGGTATATGGGGCCGGTGCCCTACTCACTGAGCCACAGGCGCTGCCCTATTTTTAATATTTTCAGTAGTGCTAGGGGCAGTGGCTCACACTTGTAATCCTAGCACTCTGGGAGGCTGAGGCTAGTGGACTGCCTAAACTCACAGGTTCAAAACCAGACTGAGCCAGAGCTAGACTCTAGTCTCTAAAAATAGCTGGGTGTGGTGGCAGGCACCTGTAGTCCCAGCTACTTGGGAGGTTGAGGCAAGAGAATCACTTAAGCCCAAGAGTTGGAGGTTGCTGTGAGCTGTGATGCTACACGGGGCAACAAAAATGACTTTGTCTCCAAAAAAAAAAAAAAAAGAAAGAAAGAAAAGAAAAAAAAATTTCAATAGAGACAGAATTGCCTAATGTTAAGTCCCAGATTGAAGCTAGAAAAACACAAAGTGAATTAAATTGTATGATTTTGAAAATGTATTTGTTGAACTTAGGCCACCTAGTTAGTGAAAGGTTTTCAGAGGGCTTTAGCCAACTGTCACTTTGCTTATAGGTCAACAACTTGCAAATCAATAGAGACGGCAGCCAAGCTGTTCATTCCAGACTAAGAGAAGCTGGAATCAAACTATTTGGTTTGGTTTTGTTTTTCACTCTTTTAGAGACAGAGTCTTGCCTATTGCCCAGGCAGTGGGCTGGTCAGAGCTCACCATAACCTGGAATTCCTAGCCTCGAGTGATTCCCGTGGCTCAGCCTTCAAAGTAGCTGGGTACAGGTGCACACCATCTGTGCCTGCCTAATTTTTTTGTATCATTATTATTATTCTACACAGATGAAGTCTCCTGTATTGCCCAAGCTGATCTAGAGCTCCTGCCCTGAAGAAATCCTCCCACCTTGGCTTTCAAACCCTACAGTAATTCGTGTTTTTAAAAACTAAAGAAAATGGAAAACTCTGGATGTTATATAAGAAAAAGATCAAGATATAAAGAACTACATGTTTAAGTTTAGGGTAACGTTAAGAGCACGTCTAAAAGAAACACCCAGTTATTTATTGTGAGACTTAAGAAGTGGTGGGATCATACGTTCTTTACTCTTTACGGTTCTCGTTATTTCTAACGTTTCTACAGTAAACTTAGAATTACGCACTTGATCCTTAGAAAAGAAAAAACATGCACACGCCGTGTAGTCAAGGCCAGGGAGGCCCGCAGGTACTTAGCGGCCCTGGCCTCCAGCCCACAATCACCTGTGCCAGCCCTGGGCGCACATCCGGGGCCTGCGGCAAGTGACGCGGGTAGGGACCGGCCCGTCGCGGTCGCAGAGAATCCACCACCTGCCCGGGATCGTTGGTCTGTAATCCCAAGTTTGCCCAGCCAGAAGGTGGGCACTCCCGGATGTGAGGCCCTGGTTCTGTGGCTGCAGGATCCCGAGACCAGGCCACTCTGTTCCCCGTCTATCCCCCGCCCCGAGCCACTTCCCTACAGAGGCGCACAAAGCTGGAAAGCGAGGCGCCTTCCCGCCACCGCCTCCGCGCGAGGGCCTAGCCCAGACTGCCCGCGTCCACCAGTCTCCAGAAGGGAAAGCACAGCCTTTTGGTCCCTTCTCCGTTATCCCCATCTCGGGCGTCGAGGACTGCCACCCGGCCCAGCCCAACTTCACAACTCCGCGCCTCACCTTGTTGAGCCGCAGCCACCGTCATCGTCGCCGCGACGAGCAGAAGCCCGAACCCAAGGACATGAAGGGGCGCCATGCTGCGCGCGCCGAGAAGAGGGGCGCGGGGCGGGCCCGGGACTGGCGAGAGAACGCACGGAGGCTGTGCAGCGGTGGGGGCCCGCGGGCAGGCCGGGCGGCGCGAGGCTTGAAGCGTGCGGGTTCGCGTCGCGAGGACCGAGGCGCAGCGGCGTCCAGACCTGGTTTAAGATGCGAGCTCACCGAAGAAACTGCGCGCTCTGGGCGCGGGGCGGGGCGGGGCACAGACCTGCCGGACCTGGCAGCCCCGCCTCTCGGCCCCTTCCCGGGGCTGCTGACCTCTGGCAGCCGGAGCCCAGCGATGAGTCACCGCCCAGGGGCGGGGGCGGCGCGGGCTCCCCACCTCCGGTGCGGCAGTGGGCGCGCCCGCACTTCCCCAGGTGTGCGCGCCGCGCCCCGCCCCGAGCCGCCCTGGGTGCTCCCGCTCTGTGGCTGCCGCAGGTAGCCTTGGTGGCCACGGAGTTGGTACTGTACAGAAGCTTTCTTTCGTACGAAGAGTGCTGCTTTCAAGCCTTGAAAAATGGGGCTTGAGCAAAAGGGTGCGGAAACTAAAGAGGAACATGGAAGCTAAAATGGAACGCAAAGAGAAGCGGAGATCTGTCCGAAGAACTTTTTTGCATTAATTAACTTTTTTGCAAAAAAGACGACCTTTGAGCTTTACTTGGCTGTCTGTTGTACTCCTTTGAAACTAGGGGGGGAAAAAGGAAGAAAGAAGAAATCTCCAACTTTCCAAGGATGACAAATTCGTATATTTTTATGATTAAGCTCAATAATTCTTTTCCCTCTTTTGTAAGCATTTTTGGCACGTGAAGACGTAAGAAAAGTTGTTGCCATAGAGCCAAATGCTGGGAGCCCAGATAATTTTGTTTTGACTAATATTAGAGAACAATGTTGATGAGTCCTTTGAAAAGCAATTATAGGGAAGTAAAACAAGGTACCAAAATTTGTTTCAATGGAAATGATTTCAAATCACAAAACACTCCCTTAGTCTTAAAAGAATTGTAATGACTTAAATCTTTTAGTAACTATTATGTGTTTTTAATGTTATTTTTGTTAGGTGTAATATTATAACGTATTTAAAAGATGATTTTTATCTGCTTAAGAAATTAATGGGTGTAATAGTTTGAAAGAGGAAAAGTGAAAAGCAATTTTAAGATTCAGCTGAATCTGGTTAATTTCTACAAGTATATGCCAAGTCAAAGATTATGCTTACATTAAACAATAATTTAAGTATTGTACTCTCCTGCTGATGTATAGGCAGGTTGATTAATGCAAATAGTCATATTGTTACAAGTATCTCTATAACTTGAATGTTTCTTGGTGCATTAAATAAGCTATTTTTCAGATTTTGGCATCTTAAGGAAGTCCTATCAGAGTTTTAAATCTTAATCTGAGTTGCTAGACCTAGTTTTAGAACTTTGTGATCGGTTGAGCAATTTGTTTAAGTGGAAAGAATAGTACCAATGAATCAGGAACAAGTTACCAACGAGATTTTACTGTCTGTTACACTTTGGATGTTTTCAGGAAGTTGGACCCTGCCACCCCCTTGCCAAACTATGCATACTTTTCCTAAGAATAATCTAACTGGTTACTGTGGCTTTGTGTGCAAAATGTGCCTCTGCTAGGTCTAAATCTGTTACCTAATTAGGAGAACCTCATCTTGTCATAACCTGACAGCTGTTTATTGTTTGTTGCAATGAAGTGAATTGAGTAAACTTAATTCTTAAATAGATGACAAAATGCCACATCAATCTCTGACTCATCATACCTTAGCGTACATCCTGGGGACTGTTTATTTTTACAGCTCTTTAACACCTTCTCAATTTGCCATTCACTGCTCAAAATCACTCTCACTTTATGTTTTGTGAATCTTCTACAGAAGATTCTTCTAATGCCATATTTAAGAACATTTATTAATTTTTTTTTTTTTGAGACAGAGTTTCACTTATTAACCCTTGGTAGAGTGCCGTGACATCACAGCTCACAGCAACCTCCAACTCCTTGGGCTTAGGCAATTCTCTTGCCTCAGCCTTCTGAGTAGCTGGGACTACAGGCACCTGCTACAACACCCGGCTATTTTTTTGTTGCAGTTTGGCCGGGGCTGGGTTTGAACTCATCACCTTCGGTATACTCACTGAGCCACAGGCGCCACCCGATTTGTTAATATTTTTATAAGATTTCATACCCAGGCTTGGCGCCTGTGGCTCAAGCAGCTAAGGCGCCAGCCACATACACCTGAGCTGGCGGGTT